ACATAAAATATAAACATGTTATTTTGAGATTGTTTATTAACTTGTCTTAATAATCATAAAATATATTTTTTAAAACAGAAATAATAATTCTAGTTAAAAATACTGTATTGACTAGGATAAAAAAAAGATACATCAATAAAAAAATTATCTTGATGAAAAAAATCAAAACAGCCGTGTATTTTTTATTTTTCTAATAATACCAAAAAAAATTACGAGACCTGTATATTTTTTTATATTTTAAAAACATTGGAATCATCTGCAGTCGTGCTCACAAACCAGTTTATGCTATTATAAGTGGAGAGAAATCAGGGTGCCCTGATCGTTTGGTAATTGAGATTTCTGTCACCATAATGACCAACATGCAATCGGTTAATAGATTAACAAGTAAATTATCAAATAAATAAATAAATTAGTAAAGGTCGGGTTGGGCGGTGGGGAGAGCAAGACAGGGACCGACTCTGATCGAGAGAGATTTTCCACGATCTCCGTGACTTCCATACAAGTTTGAGAAGCATTAAACAACTATGGAAAGGCCATGCTAATCAATTAATTGCACATTATTAAAAAAAAAAAATTAAAGAGAGAGAGAAGCCTTGGATTGGGGTCCTGGACTCATGATGAAATCTCCACCGTCCAGAAAGATCCGCGTATCCACCGTCCACACTGTCAATTGGCTATATACATGTACAAAGATCTTCAAGGAAACAAACAAGCAAATTATAAAAAGCTTCCCTTGCTAGTTTTTTCACATGGCCGTTAGGACCTAAATTATGCACATGGCTTAATTTGCCCATGCTCCCAAACTTCATGGATCATGGTATCCTGATCTAACTTAAAATTTAATGATTAAATTGATATCTCATTTTGCTGCTCCAAACTGTTTAGAAATATAATTTTAATTATTTTTTAAAATATTTTTTTATTTAAAATATATTTAAATATTATTTTTATTTTTTAAAAATAATTTTGATATTAGCATATTAAAATAAGTAGAGGTGAAACTTATCACCTGTCTTGATTAATGAAACGGGCTTGTCCTTTATTACCACGTCGTTCTCGAGGGCCAAAAATGTCTTTGTAATACGAGTGACTAGTCATTCTTTTTTGATGCTTGAGAGTTGAGAGAGAAAAAGGTTGGGATTCTTAAGGAAGGTCGGTTCCGCTGCAGCCCATTGACTTGACCACCTGCCAATTAGGTTTCACCACATTCGGCACTGGCCATGGTAGGTAGGCTCAAGCTTGACCGTAACGAAAGCAACGTTCTTGTTTTTCTTAACGTTTTTAAATGAGTTGTTTTTAAAAATAATAAAAATACTTTTTTAAAAAATAACTACTACCTGACCATGTTTAAAAAATGAAACCCCACTGCATGCTGTCCGCACGCAACTGAAGCCAGGTTTTAGCACGTGTGAACTCTGTTTTTGCCCAATTGATCGAACACTTCTTAGGTGCAACAACCACCGTCTTAATTATTATTTTTATCTTGACTACGGTGAACAAGCTTCGACATTTGACAGCAGCGAAGTCTCTCGAAGGATGGGCAGGAAAGAGTTAAAAATTAGAGGGAGGCTCGAAATGGAAAGCTCAGTCCCAACGCGGAAAGATCAAGAATGTAATAAGAAGTTAAGTGGTCCAATCTCTCTCTCCAACGGACTTAAATATTTCATTTTTTCTAGGCATTTGTCAACATCTTTTCTTTTATAATTCATTTTTTCTAGGCATTTGTCAACATCTTTTCTTTTATCATATTGTGTTTGAAGAAGCCAATAATACACAATAAACTTGGTGTCCAGAAGTTCGTAGAAGAGTCCAGATAGAATTTGATTGATTATGATCGTGACAGCGCCAACGATAAATGACATTAAACTTTGCTTCGGCCTGATTATTCTTTAATCACAACCTAAATTAAAAGGGATAGCCATGAGCTTGAAGCTTTGCATCTGTAAAAATCATTTGGATACACTGTGAGATGTTTTGGAAGACAGGTAGCCCGTTAAATATTAAAACAGGAGACGGGGGAGGGAGGCCTGTCGTATCATTCACTGTGCTGGAGCCCCGCACGGAGAAAACCTCTTCCCATGTCAAAATCAAACTAAACAATAACCATCAAACTAAACAATAACCATCTAGCTAGGTGTTGAACAAGTAATAAAAACTTGAAATTAAGAGATTTACTCTTTCTATGATCTCAGGTTCGAGTCCTTAGTTGCTCATATAATGACCACTGGAGGCTTACATGGTCGTTAACTTCAGGACCCATGGGATTAGTCGTGGTGCGCGCAAACTGGCCCGGACACCCACGCTAATCTAAAAAAAAAAAAATCAAATTGAACAAACTTTTATAAAAAAATAATAATAATAAATTCATTAAATACTTATATAATCATTACTTTTACAATCTATATAAAATTAATCAAGATATATATAAACTAATCTAAACAACCATATTAATAAAAAAAATCAAACTCTTGTTTGCTAATTTCATCCCAGAGTTAGTTGACTTTCTACACAAATTGTGAATGTATAATTAATTACATGTCATATAATCTGTTTCGATTTACTTCACACTAATTAATATCCTTCTATGAATGTAAATAAGAGAGAAAAATTGGATTGAAAGAATTAAATTAAGTTGCAATTAAGAGGTATAATAGTAAGATTAAGTGATTAATAATTTGACTTTTCGATAAATACCCCAAATAGAAAAAAGGACTATTTTTGAAGCACAAGGAGCAGCTGATTTTACTGTTTGAAAAGAAATGATATAAATAAAAAAGAAGTCAAAGATAAAGTAACATGAAAAAATAGATGATATGGCATACAATTAATTGCATTTTTTTATATGTGAGAAATCAAAAGAAATTAAAGCTTTGGACGAGTTTAACCAAGCAAAGAGAATCAAGAAAATAAGATATAAAAATAAAGTCTAAACAGAAATACTTTAAAATAAAAGTTAATTTAGCATCCTTGTTAGAGATACTAACATGGCATGCCTTGTTAGTATCACAAAAATACCATCTAAAACTAATCTAAAACCAATCGACCATCCAAGTCGTCATCCAAATCCTCATGTGTGTTTTGTTTGATATTATGCTGTGAAATACTTTTCAATTAAAAATTCATCAAAATTTTATATATATATATTAATACAACAAAATTATCCAAAATCACCTTAAAAAACATTATTTTCAAGCCAAAAACAATTTGAAAATCAAGTTCTAACACAAAAACAAACCCTCACAATCATCAATATTTTTTCATGGCCAAGCCACCACAACTACCGTTCCCTTCATGGACAACCTACTACAAGACGTACCAAAGTTCGAATTATTAATTCTTCCCTCGAGGCCATGGAAAAATACTGGGATGAAAAGAAGCAAGCAACCTGCAAGAGGAAAACGGCCCCTCCCATTTTGAATCTAAACATAAAAAGACACCATAAGACAGCAAAAAACTTTATGAAACGGGCTAAACAGACTCCAAAGATTGTCACACCATCTGCGTATACCAGTGAGCAGATCTAACTGTGTTTTTGCAGTCAGCAGCAAAAGAGCACAATGACAATAACAAAAAAGGCCAGGTGAAAGTTCATCTGTATCAGGTGAGAGTGTCTGTACCTATTTGAAGCACAGCTTGGACCGTGGTACAGAATGAAGAATTAGATGGGGATTAGAACCACATGCCATAGTCTTTAAGTTTCTAGATATTTGTACATTGACAGCTAGGCCTTGGTCATTGATTGTAGTTCTGCTTAAAAGCCTAGTTGAATTATCTGATAAAGTTCTTGCAAGGAAAGGAATGTGACTGGGTAGAACATTGAGCTTCAACTATAATATTTTTCTTCTTATATGATTGCAACGCACCAGAGATTACTACAAATTTCAATTTTGAAAGCTACAAACACAACATTGCATTAGACATATTTATCCAACCTGGAAAGAGAGAAAAATAAAACATGCACCCTTCATATATCACCAACAAAACCCTAGCAAAAGGACTGAAAAAAAGAAGAGGAAAGAAAGAATTGCCACTACTATATTAAGGGTGAGAATTCTGCTATCATATAACTTCACAAGCAAAACTTGAGAGGAATTAATGACAAGATGCCGATATACCATCCCTCTTCAGCGATTCCTTCAAAAGCATATATCAAAAGATTAATGTATTGAAATCAATGCAATTTCTTCAATCTTTTCATCAAAACACATACCAGTTCGAAGCAGCAACTGACAGGCGTTGCCTTTCTTTTTTCCCGCGTCAACAATCTCCGCACCAGCAGAAAAATCATTTGGATGTTTCTAGAGCTCTTGAAAAACTGAACTGAAAAGTGCTAAAATCGAAAAAGAAATCAAAAAATAAGGTCAATTTTTCACTATGTTATTGAGGTATATATGACAGCCAATTTGGCAAACAGCCGACTTTCACACTAACTGAGCACCAAACCACTAAGAGCATAATGAGATCAAGTTCACAGCTCTCGAGCAAGAATGCAATACAACTGTATTATGAAGGAATCATTAATGGATGTTAAAAGGAAGCCTGAGAATTAGATCTTCTGAGATTCCATACTATTTCAAAACTATACTATCATTGACGCAGAGAAGTTTTACTTGATGTGGAGTTCTTTTATGCAAAAAAGAGAGGGTGCTAAGTGAAGATGATAGGAGAAAAAGATATCTTCTGCACCATATAACTAAGTTGACCTGGTGCCCAGAAATAGTAGCTCTTGCACCATGACCAATGGCGACCATGACAAAGAACTGCTCATCCCGGAATGTGGTTATAATAAAAAAATTCCTATTAGATACAAGTAGAATGAAAAATACCAAATCACATAAAGCTCCAGTCACCTAAAATTTCCAGAAACAATCTCAAATTTCCTACTATTATGAGGGGAACAAAATTAACCATTAGAGAGGGATCTAGTTAGTTAAACTTTCCTTTCTCCCCTTCACTAGGATCTAGTTTTGACATATCAAGTTTCATCCTACTTGACATCATGAACAATTCCAGAAAAAAAGTGCACACAAGCATTAGCTTATATAACTGAGCAGCACTGTCCACAAGTTCCTTTTTTTTTTTCAAAAAGAAAAATAATATCATTGACCTAGTAAGTATGCCCCTTTGAATTTCCTAGTTCAGATTATTCCTAACCATTGCTAGTCAGATATATCTCTAATTGAGAAATAATGAGTGTTATTTTAAGGAAACTTGTACAGAAACTGAAAGCTTGAATGAAATATCACTACATGTTAGGCTAGCATAATATAAATATGGCATCAAGTTACTCTCATTCTGAAAATTAAGATACCCCTGATTGGCTGTATTCACATGTTTGGTGCACCGAACACTATGAAAGAACAGATCTCCACCATGAAATTGCTCACCCAAGTAAACATTCAAGGTGATTTTGGAGTCAAACATTGAAAACTAAAAGGAAGGATGTCAGGTGAAAAAAGAAGAGGAGGAGGCGGGGGCAACAAATTACTCTTTGAAACTAGCGAGAGAAAGCTTTCTCAAAACAAAAATGGTGATAGAAAGACAAAGGCAAAACATTAACTGGCAAGCCAGAGCCTGGTACCATTGCCAGGAAATAAATGACACCATCACCATATCAAACACGAACGAGTATCAACATTAATGTAAGGCGTAAATCCTACCCAACTAACAAGTTTTAAGAATGAAAAATAAATCCATGCAATACTTTTGGAACTGAAGAATCAAAACAAAGATGAGAGAAGGTCCGGGTCTTTGAAACTCCCTTTAGTTTCAGTCACTACTAAATGATAAAAGATTCACCAAATACAATACAATGGACAAGATATTATTATTCATATTGACAAATGGAATTAGCAAAAAGAAGGTTCAAAGTTAACACCTACCAAGCTCGATATCCATATGCTCTCCGTATTCAACCACAGAACCATGGTGAGAATCCAGAGTTAATCCACCCACCCGAGGAGGGAAAACTACATAGAAATAAGAGCACTGAAATGAGTTTTTGCTATATTTATAAATGATGGATTGTGAGTTATAATTTATAAGCATAGAGCCTTATTGAATAGAGATATGATACCTCTAGACATGGGACATATATAGTCATCCATCAACTTTTCGAGCATGGTTTCCAGTCCAGAGTCATCAAGAACAACACCAAATTGTTCATGGTGTTCAGACAAATTACATAGAACCTGTTATCACACACCCATCTTTCCATACTTTCTACCTAAGCAATCAGAACTTTGTAATGCACAAACTAAAATACATGAAAGATCATGTCATTTACACGACAAATGACAAGAGAAATAAATAAAAACTCATTTATCAACATTTCACGGAACCTTGGCTGAAACATTTCAAACTTATAAACTCTCTTCTGAGTTCTCACTGATTGCTTTTAGAAATGGAGGACCAAAGAAATGCGTGGCATTCATATTTATACAACTCCTTATGTCGAGGGTGTGACAAGAAGTAACTAGCCAATAAGCTCAGTGTACTAAAGAACACGACAACTAATGCTTGTATGCTATATGCAAAACAAGAAAATTCAAATCATTCCATGCTCATATAATTTTGCAAACAATTCTACACTTATCGCCATGGAAACTGTAGAGTGTTTAACAGCAGTTGTTCAGTTTTGAGAGAATGCATGTGATGTCAGCTATCCTGAAAGCCTTTCCATGTTTGAAAGGAGAGGGCAAGTGCCTGCATAAACTCTAGACAACATAGGCAGTGAGAGAAACTTAAGCACTCATATAGTGTCTGTGCAAATGAACACAGGTTTATACTAAAAAACAATACCAGGAATGATTAAAAAAATCAATCTGATGGTGAAAAAACCCATAAACTAGCCTGGTAAATAAGGATACACCACTTATAAATTGAAAAAAAAAATGATAAGAGAAAATTGTGTTGACAACTAAAATGACGTCCAAGATAAGAGCAAGTCATCCTCCAAAATATGAAACAAAAAGAAATATCATAAGAGAGCAACCCAATTCTGCTGAATATCAGCTAAAGAAACTACCCTGAAAGAGCCTGAAGCCAAAAAAAGGAAAATTACCATATCCCATGCACAACAATTTTTTCTCAAATTTTTACTTCAGAATAAAAATTCAAAAAATGAAATACACCTTGTAGTTTGATAAAATATGTTGTCTGTATTTTCTATGCTTTTGATCCTGTCAGTTTGCATCAGAAATCAGTGACAACTGACAACAGCATGACCATTTAGAAAAGAAAAGCAACAGAACATATGATAAGGCCAACGACTAGCACTAGAGAGGTGCATCAAAATTTCTGGAAACTCATTGGTTCACACCACACCGTTAGCAGTTCAGGACATTCTGAACCTGTATGGATACAATCCTTTTCATCGGTAATTAAAGATTGATAGGAAAAGTTCATTCTGTCAGCCTTTATTTTACACGATGTTTAAAATATAATATCCTCACAAAACTCATTTCAGAAAATAAATAAAAATCTCAAAGCTCAACCTCTGAAAGAACCACATCACGATGACTGGTGTTGCTGATCATGTACCATTTTGTCGGCCTTCTTAAACCCACATCCCCGCTAAACTACAAGTGAGTTCAGCAAGAATCAATTGTAAGTTATAAAAGAGGAAGGAAAAGAAAGGCCAATTATTATTCATGCTAGTAGCAATCAACCCTGTGCATGAAGGAGATTCTGTCCCGATTTGCACGAACAATTTTCCCAAATTCAATCCTCAGCCTCATAGAAATAAAGGGCAAACATTTTCATAAACCATTAGAAAGAGCGATGCCGTTACGAAACCGAACACAGCCACGAGCATAACAACATTTCTTTCAGTTTCCCTAAATCACTAATGAATGAATGAAATCTGAGTTTACTTAAGTCGATAATTCCAATTCATAAATAGAATAAAAGAAGTGGAGAAGGAGGCGCGGCATACGCGAGCGCGTTCACCCTGGGGAGAGTAGCGAGTGAGAGTGTCACTGAGGAGGTGGACTTCACGATCACTCGGCAAATTGAGCATGTTAGGAGGCAAGTGCAGCTCTAGAGAACTGAAGATTAGAGGACTGTAACCCTCTTGCATGTCCTCGTAGCTCGCCGGGTTGTGCTCCCTGTTCTCGAACAGTAGCAGCCTCTGCGTCAATAGCAATTCCACGCCGTTCCCTTTCCCCCTCGTTTTTTGAGTCGCGTCATCCATGAACATTTTTCAAGATACATATGCAGGTCGCTTAAAACCCCCCGGAAATTAGACTTTTCGAGGCTTTATGAGCTGGAATGCGTGGAGACTAGTCTTGGACAACTGAACACATCACCTGAAAATCTTGGTATTTGGTAACTTTCGTCCGTCTAGTATGGTGATATTTTTTAAAAAGTAAAGAATGTATTAAAAAAAATATTTTTATTTTTAATATAAAATATTAAAAAAATATTAATTTAATATTTTTTATTTTAAAAATAAATAAATGCAAAACAAAGGCAATGTATGAGTTTAGTTGTTAAAAAAATAATCCTTTGACAGTTTTGATCCAAAAACATTTGAAATATTTCAAATCCCTAGATAAACTTGCTTGTAACTTCAAACAACCCTAAAAATATAAAAAATAAAATTAATTTGAAATTCAAAAAGTTTTTAATGCAGGTTTATTCTTTTTCAAGAGATCTAGATGTAAAATAATACTCTAATAGAGCTTTTCTCATTAAATAACACTCGTAAATATTGAACTCGATCTTTTTTTTTGGTCTTGATCATTGTTAATCAATATTTTTTTTATTTACCATTAGAATCCCATAATTTTTTTCTCGCTATCAATAAAAAATAAGGTTTTAAATTAAAAGTGAATCCATTAAAAAAATAAAAATGAAATGAAAAAAAATAAATATGATAAGATGGCAAATCAGAGTGCTATTGCGGGTTATAAAATAAATATACTTAATAATGTTATAATTATAAATCAGCACGAGATAAATAATAGAAATTAAAGTGATTAATGATTTTTTTTCTTTTATGTCTTAAAAAATAGATAAAAACATGAAGTTTTAAATCAAGAGTGAACCCAGAAAAAAATAAAAAATAAAATGATGAAAAATAGATATGACAAAATGGCATGCTCGCACGCTGTTGTGGGCTTATGAAACAGATATACTTGATGGTATTATAATTACAAATTAACGCTAAATAAGTAATAGAAACTAAAACTATGATGGAGTCAATAGTTCATAATAAAAAACAAAAGGTTGTGTCGATGATAAAAAAAACTTTGAGATGGAACAAAATGATTTGTAGCAGTTCATAGTATTTTGCAAGGAAAGATACAGTGTTTTCGCCATATAATTTAATTTTTTTGTCAATAAATAGCAAAAACAATCACAAAGCTAAATTTTCTACCAATTTAATATTAAAAAAATTGACAAAAGTAGTTTTGAAATGAAAAAACCTATGAAAAAAAATATTGTAGCAATTGACAATATTTTGCTGAGAAAATTATAGTGTTTTTTCAAATATAATCAACAAAAACGATTTAGAAATAATCATAAAGAAAAACCATTTAGAGAAATACTTTAGTAATCTATAATGTTTTTTGAGAAAAACAATAATGCTTTTCCCATATGATTTAGTTTTATTGTAATTATAATTTTTAACCAATTTAATATTTAAAAAAATAACAAAGAAAATTTCTTTTAAAATCCATTAAAAAAATACATGAAAAAATATTTCAACAATTCACAGTGTTTTAAATAAATAAAAAATACAAAGTTAAATTCTCAATTAACTCAATATTTTAAAAAAATTAACAAAAATAATATAAAAAAAAACACAAAAAAAACTATGCTGGAAAAATCATAGCAATTCATAATGTTTCATGATGATAATCACAATGCTTTCTTACATGATTTAACTTTATTTATAATGACTTATAATTATAATTTTCAACTAGCTGAGTATTATAACTGTAATCAGTATCAACTTGTACATACATCAATTAATCTCACATGCCTTGAAATTAATAGTCATGCAAGCCTCTAGTAATTTGAAGATTTGTGAGACTTGAATCGATAATCTCTAGAGAGCAAATCTAAGACCTGATTAGTTGGGCTACAACTCTCAAAAAAAATTTCTTCATGTAGTTAACCGCATGAGTGAGAGGAGAGAGATTAACTTGTTCGGAAGTATGGTTATAATTACTTTTAAAAGTGTTTTTTATTTTAAAATATATTAAAATAATATTTTTTATTTTTTAAAAAAATATTTATAATATTAATACATTAAAACAATATAAAAACACCATAAATATATTAATCTAAAATAAAAAATAAGTTTTTAAAAATACAAAAACAAATAGAATAATAGAAAATAAAAAAACCTCCTGTTATGCAATTCAAAGCCCAGAGACAGAGGGACTTCCTGATCTCATTTTATACAGGGTTGAGCTCGTAATAAGAAAATTTTGGTGGCAATAATTATTTTTTAAAGTATTTTTTATTTAGAAGTGTTTGTATATACATATATATATATATATTATCATTTTTAAAAATTATTTTTAATATAGTATTTTAAAATTATTAAAAAATATTTTAAAAATTTTAAAAATCTTTAGAGTGATTTTTACAACTTCAAACTAAAAACAGGAGAGCATTTTTTTTTAAATGATTTCTTTTAAAATAAAATCAAGTGAGATGATATACTTTAGAAAGATCTATTGCTGGTTGAGGATGACAGCAGGATACAGAAATATATAAAATGTTATAACAATGCCCATTTGATTTTGCAAAAGTAAGTTAGTTTTTTAAAAATTACTTTTAATTTTTTT